TGGGGGAGGAACTACCCCAGCTGACTTAGTTTTTATCACTTCCAGGTGTTAGGAGGACTTAGAGTGGACTCATGGCGTAGCGGGGACTCAATTGCATGGACCTCTAGGGCATTCCTTTAGTTTAGAGTGTTATGTCAAGTTTGTGCATATTTATATTTATTCTTATCGAAGTTCATTTAGGATTATTTTTGATATGTGGGTTGTTTATATCTCATAAGTTTGGATGGTTTTTGATTACGGTTGATTTTGCCGTTTATAATTGTGGCATGTCTGGATTGAGTTTTGGTTATTTATTATTGGACTATTGTTCAGTTGTTCAATGTGATTGGATTCGTGTTTAGGCTTACGTGTGCCTTGGGCTAAGTCCCTGTGGGCCACGGCCGGTCATGCCCGGATTTGGGGTGTGACAATTGTGGTATCAGAGCTATAGATTTATCAAGTTACATACCTTGCATTTCATCATTTAGACGAGGTCCGAGTCCCTATAGTCCTTAGTAGTGTTTGGTTAAGTTAGTTTTGCTTAAGCTTGTGTTGAATCGTTCTTGATTTCATTTTGAAGGTTAGGAGTTGGCACCTTGATATTTACACAGATTGTCTATTCCTTGTGAGCCTTGATGTTTGTATTACTGTGTCTACTCCATTAGGAGAAACAGTTGTATTGGGAGATATCTGTAGATCTTGTGTGGTAAACTTGGATGGTTGGATTTTTCTGGTGGATTGGATTTCTTTAGAGATGAAGGATTTTGACGTGATTTTGAGAATGGATTTGTTGACGAAGCATCACGCCTCTGTTGATTGGGTTAGAAAGAGGTTAGTTTTTGCTATGCCAAGGCAACTTGAGTTTTTCTTTCAGGGGGATAGGAAAGGGTCTTCTATCTGTTTTAGTTCTTCCCTTTAGGCTAATCGAATGTTAAGTAAAAGGGTGTCATGGTTATTTAGCTTGTGTGGTGAGTACCGAACAGCTAGAGCAGAGGTTAGAAGAGTTGCCTGTAGTGAGTAAATGTGTTGATCTTTTTTTTTTTTTTTCTAGAGGATCTATCTGGAGTTCCTCCAGATCGTGAGGTAGAATTTTTTATTGATTTGGTCTCTAATACAGAACCTATCTCTAAAGCGCCCTATGTAATGGCACCATTGGAGTTGAGGGAGTTACAAACTCAATTATAGGAGTTGTTAGACAAATGTTTTATTAAGCCTAGTGTTTCACCTTGGGGAGCACCTATGTTGTTTGTGAAGAAGAATGATGGGTCTATGAGATTGTGTATTGATTATGAGGAACCGAACACAGTCACAATGAGGAATAGGTGTCCTTTGCCATGTATTGATGACTTATTTGACCAATTGCAAGGAGCTTAGGTATTCTCTAAAATTGACTCAAGGTCAGGCTATCACCAGTTGAAGGTAAGGGATGATGATGTTCCTAAGACTGCTTTTAGAACCCGTTATGGGCATTATGAGTTCTTGGTGATGCCTTTTGGTCTCACAAATGCACCAGCCGCATTTATGGATTTAATGAATAGAGTATTTAAGCCCCAACTAGATAAATTTGTGGTAGTGTTTATTGATGACATCCTAATTTATTCAAGGAGTAAGGAGGACCATGAGCAGCATTTGAGGGTAGTACTGCAGATCCTTAGGGAGAAGAGATTGTATGCAAAATTTAAGAAGTGTGAATTCTGGTTGAGCAGTGTATCCTTTTTGGGTCATGTGGTGAGTAAAGGTAGGGTATCTGTGGATAGCACAAAGGTGGTAGAAAATCGTTGATTAGCCACGACCTACTTCTATGATAGAGGTACGTAGCTTTCTAGGGCTTGCTGGGTATTACAGACGGTTTGTGGAAGGATTCTCCCGTATTGCTTTGCCACTTACCAATCTCACCAGGAAAGGGGTAAAGTTTGAGTGGAATGATGATTGTGAGCGTAGTTTCCAAGAGTTTAAACAGAGATTGACATCAGCTCCAATCCTTGCCTTACCTACAGATGGTGGTGGTTTTGTGATTTATAGTGATGTTTCACGATAGGGTTTAGGATGTGTGCTTGTGTAGCATGGGCAGGTGATTACTTACGCGTCATGATAGTTGAAAGTAGATGAGAGAAATTATCCTACGCATGACTTGGAGTTAGCAGTAATGATTTTTGCTCTTAAGATTTTGCGACATTATTTGTATGGAGAGTCATGTGAGATTTACATCGATCATAAGAGTTTGAAGTATATTTTCACATAGAAGGAACTAAATTTGAGGCAAAGAAGATGGCTTAAGTTACTAAAAGATTATGATGGGAATATTTTATATCATTCGGGAAAGGAAAATGTGGTTGCAGATGCCTTGAGTAGGAAGGTCACAGTTGGAGATGTAGCAGCTTTGTCTATTGAGAGTTGTTTGGTGGAAGACATGAGACGTTTGAGGCTTGAGGTTGTTACGCCTGGTGATAGGGCTTATTGTAGTCAATTGATAGTTCAGCCAACCTTGAGAGAACGGATTCGTTTAGCGGAGGAGATTGACCCCCAGTGTGAGCGTATTAAAGGAGAGATGGCAGAGGGTAAGCATATAGACTTTGTGGTTAGTGATGATGGGTTGCTTAGATTCCGTAGCCGAATTTGTGTTCCTGCTGGTGGTGATTTGAGGAGGGAGATTATGACGAAGGCACATAGTTATAGTTATAGTTATAGTTATAGCATTCATCCTGGAAGTACTAAGATGTATCAGGATCTTTATGAACATTTTTGGTAGAATGGTATAAAGGGAGATATTGCAGAATTTGTGGCTCAGTGTTTGGTGTGTCAACAGGTTAAAGTAGAATATTAGAAACCTGCGGGGAAACTACAACCTTTACCTATACCAGAGTGGAAGTGGGATCATGATACCATGGACTTTGTGTGTGGTTTACCTTGTACTAGTAGTAATCACGATGCAGTTTGGGTTGTTGTTGATAGATTAACCAAGTCAGCACATTTTATTGCAGTTTGGATGACCTATTCTCTAGCTCGATTTGCACAGTTGTATGTGAAGGAGATTGTTAGATTGCATGGGGCACCAGTGTCAATAGTGTCAGATCGGGACCCTCGTTTTGTGTCTAAGTTTTGGGGTGTGTTACAGTCAGTTATGGGCACTTGGTTAAATGTTAGTTTAGCTTATCACCCTTAGACAGATGGGGTATCGGAGAGGACTATTCAAATCTTTGAGGATATGTTGAGGGCTTATGCTTTAGAGTGGAGAGGTAATTGGGATGATTATTTGCCGCTCATGGAGATTGTGTATAATAATAGTTATTATTCTAGTTTGGGAGTAGCTCCTTATGAGGTTTTGTATGGGAGGAAGTATAGGTCTCCTTTGTGTTGGTATGAGGTTGGTGAGAGGCAAATGTTGGGATCTGATTTGGTGGAGGATGCTACACAGAAAATTATCACCATCAGAGAGAGATTATTGACTGCCCAGAGTAGACAAAAAAAAAGTTATGCTGATCATCGTAGGAGAGACTTAGAGTTTCATGAGGGGGATATGGTATTCTTGAAAGTATCACCATGGAAAGGAGTGATCAGGTTTGGAAAGAAAGGAAAGTTGAGTCCTAGATACATTGGTCCATTTGAGGTATTGGAGAAGGTTGGTGAGGTTGCGTACTGTGTTGCTCTACCCCCTAGGTTGGCAGGAGTGCATAATGTGTTTCACGTGTCTATGCTGAGGAAATATGTGCACAGTCCGTCGCATGTGATAGATTATGAACCGCTTCAGATTAGAGAGGATTTTTCATATGAGGAGATACCTGTTCAGATTTTTGGATTCGAAAGAGAAAATGTTGCGTACAAAGGTCATTAAATTGGTTAAGGTATTGTGGCGTAATCATCTAGTTGAAGAGGCGACTTGGGAATGC